ATGTGCTGTGTGCTCTCAGCTGCCTCGGCCCCATCACCACGGGCCATCAGCCCAGGACACCAGCCCTGGCCTCGGGGGGCTGTCACCCCCTCCTGCCTGCTGGGGACCTTGGTCCTGCTCGAGGCTGAGCCACATCCTGACATGACAAAGTGTCCTGCACCACACCAGCTCCTCAGAGGGTGAGGGGCAGCCACAGCAGAAGCCAGGCTGCTGCTGCTTTCAGATGTGTATGTGTAGTTATATATATGTATTATCTGTGTTCATTTACTTGTGTGGTTTATGTCTATATAATTGGTTTTTTTCCTGCCAGACACCTCTAGGAGTAGAGCACGAACTCCACAGCTGAAACTCCACATCCCTGGGTAACCCCTCGACAGCGGGAGCTGCTCCTTTGGATGGAATTGGCCACACGGGGCCAAAACCCCAAAACTGTGCATTTTGGAGAATGCCCCATGAAGAAAGAGGAGCACATCCCCGGGGGGTATCAGCACTAGGTGGCACAGGGACACGGAGATGCCACCGTAAAAAAATGTCCCTGTGCGTGGGGTCCAGCTCTGGGTGCCCAGATTCCACCTGGAGCTGCCACAGGGACAGTTCCCGTCTGGTTCCTGCCCTGGGTGAGGAGGAGCCCCGGCAGCACAGCAGACTCTGGGGAGGAAGAGGAGGACGAGGGGGATGCCAGATCCGCACATCCCACTGGGAAGCGGTGTTGAATCCCTGGGAGCCGTTGTCTCCCGAGGAGGGGCAGGTGCAGCGGGAGAGTCCCCCGGGCTGGGCTGTGGCAGCTGGGGAGGGGAATTTCTCAGCGTGACGGGCTCACCTGCGGCCCGGGGATGCCGGGAATCCCACGGTGATGCCCGATGGCCACAGCCGGAGCCCAGTCCCTGGCTCAGGATGGCCACGGAGCCCTCGCAGGCTGCCCCCGGTGCCCTCGGCACCAGCTGCCCGACAGGAGCTGGCACAGGGCGCAGCCTGTCCCTGGCACAGGGAAGCTGCTCGGGGGAACTCCCCCAAAGCCTCTCGGCTCTCCCAAGTGCCACTTCTGCCTCCTGGCGTTTGATGTCACTCTCGGTCATCCCGATCACCTGAGCGCCCTCCTCCCATCCCGCTGTTTCTCTTTCCCTTCCCTGCAGTGCTTTCTGCACTGTTTTTCCCCCTCTTCAGGCTTATGTCTTTCTTTTCCCACTTCCGTTTAGCTACGAACACCCACATGCCTTATCTCCTTCCCCCATCCCATCCTGGAGTCTATTTATACAGAGCCTGGCTCCTGCCCAGCTCGCCGGAGAGCGCCGGAGGAGCGGGACGGGGCTGGCAGCGCCCGCAGCCCAACATGCTCTTGGCTGAAAGGGGATGTTTGCTGCTCTGGCTGCTCCCATCCATCCTCAGAGCCCGGTCTAGCACGGATTCGAGGCCCAGGTCCATGCTCTGTCAGCAGGTAAGGCTGTTTTCCCAGGAGCACCTGGGCTGGGACGGCTCCAGCGGCATGGCTGGGGCTGTGAGCATCCCTCTGGGTCTCCCCATGGCTCTCCCCTCCCTCCAGCCCCCATCTCTTTAACCTTCCCAGCCTCTCCTCTTTTCCTGTCTCTGAACCAGTCTCCTGCGGGTTGATCCCAGCATCCAGCTGCTCCCATGTCCCTGCTGTGCCCAAGATGCTCAAAGGCAGGATGGAGCACAGGGATTCCAACAGCTGCCATGGATGTTAGCAAGGCAGTTGGGAGCCTGGATGGGGAACAGCTGGTTTCTGTCCCCCCCCAGAGAGCAATCAGCTGCTCCCCATCCAGGCATCCAATTCCAGAGGAAAGCAGTTTGGAACGAGGAGGGTGGAGTCCACCACAGCACTTTGCCTGAACAGAGGTGCTCTGGACCAATTGGGCATGGGAGGAGGGAAGAGTCCTCATTTCCACTAGCTCATTGCCATCTTGGACAGCAGCTGGCTCGGCTGGAGCTGTGGTTTGTAGCCCCCCCTCCTGCTCACAGCTCTGCTGTCTCTCCACAGAGCCCCACAAAGGTGTCCTGCAAAGGAGTCGGCCTGCAGAACTTTCCCAAGGAGCTTGGCCAAGGAATTAAACACCTTGAACTCTCCAACAACTTCATCCAAAACCTGTTAGAGAGCTACCTGCCAGGATTTGGGCAGCTGGAGTACCTGGATTTGTGCTTCAACCAGCTGGAAGCCGTGTCAGCCGCCACCCTGGCTCAGCTGCCCCGGCTGCGCTCGCTCCTCCTGGGATCAAACCACCTGGACCGGAATTTCTTGGCTAATGGGGAAGCCTTCCGTGTGCTCAGGAATATAGAGGTCCTGGACCTGTCGGGGAATAACCTGGAGAGCCACATGGCAGGCTGGTACATCAGCAACCTCACCAGCCTCAGGGTGCTGGATCTCTCTGGGAACAAGATGACCAAGCTGCTGGCAGGGACCTTCCGGAGCACTCCAGGGCTGCGAGAGCTCGATCTCAGCAACAACTATGTCATGGAAATCCAGGAGGGAGCTTTCGAGCCTCTGCAAGAGCTGGAGGTGGTAAACTTGGCTTTGAACTCCATCCACTGCATCTCTGGCTTCAGCCTCACACAGCTGCGAGTTTTAAACCTCAGCCACAACGCCCTGGAGCTCTTCACCTCCGAGGAGGGAGCGGAGCCCTACCTGCTCCAAGTGCTCGACTTGAGCCATAACAGACTCCTCCATTTCCCAGAGCTCCCAGAAGTGCATGATCTCACACACTTAAACCTCTCCAACAACCTTATTGCTTCTCTGCTCCCAGGCTCACACCGTCTGGAGGACTTGGTCCTGCCCTACAAGGAGATGGGGAGGTTCAACAGAACTGTGCATCCCACGGCCGCTCTGACACGTGTGGCTGAGTTGGACCTCAGCAATAACCGCCTGGAGCTGTTCCCATTTACCTTCTTCCACAGCCTGGGCTCCCTGCACAGCCTCAGCCTGGCTATGAACTGTCTCCAGGAGGTGACCAGGGAGTCTTTCACCAACGGCACAGAGCCTGCTGACCCCTCTCCCGCCCTGGCAGAGCACACGGAGCTCTCCGTGCGCTCCCTGGACCTCCACAGCAATGCCCTCCGAGTGCTGCCACGCTGGTTCTTCGATTCCCTGCCTCAGCTGGAAACCATGGATCTGGGCTCCAACAGCCTCCAGCCTTGCGAGAGCCAGGGAAGTGACCAGGGAGGGGATCTGGGAGAGGAGTCTCACATTCCAGCCCCTGGAGACACCTGCACCCCCTTCTACAACGTGCCTCGCTTGAAGCACCTCAGCCTTCGCGACAACAACATCACCAGGCTGCACCCCCGCGCCTTCGACAGGACCCCGCTGCTCTCCCTGGACCTGTCGGGGAACAGGGACTTGTCTGTGCCCCCGGGAGCCCTGGTGGGGCTGGAGCTCTCCCTGCAGGAACTCTCTCTGAGGGGCAACCAGATGGACGAGAGCAGGGCGGCGCTGCCCTGCCTGGGCGCGCTGCGAGTCCTGGACCTCGCGGGGAACCGCCTGAGCCTTTTGCCCGCAGGTCTGTCCTGCTCCCCACTGGAAAGCCTGGACGTTCGGAATAACAGCCTGCAGACGTTGGGAGAACTCATGAGCTGGTCCCACAGGCTGAGGGAGGTGTCCCTGGCTGGGAACCCCTTCAGCTGCTGCTCGCTGGGCTGGCTGGACTCGCTGCGCGCGGCCGGCGTGGCCGTGCGGGACCTGGGCCGTGCCCGGTGCACCTTCCAGGAGCACGGCCGGAACGCCTCGGCCGGCATCGCCAGCTCTCCCCGCTGGCTCTGTCCCCAGCCCGAGGGCACCGGCTCGCTGGCTCTGCTCGTGGTCCTGGTGGGCCTTTCCCTCCTCAGTGCCGGGGCTTTCTGCCTCCTGAGGAAAGGCCGGAAGGCTCCGGGGTGTGCGGGGCTCCGGAGCAACAGGGTGGGGGTCTCCCCACCCCATCCCAAAGGAGAGGGGCCAGCCCAGGAGAGGCCGCCAGACTTGGTCACCAAAGTGTAGCCTAGAACTGTAGCAGTCAGAACTCTAATTTAATTATTAATAATATTAATATTAATGATATTATTGTGGTCTCCTCACTGGTTCCTGCGGGATCCCTTTAAATCAATCACGCTCTGCTGTGGGTTGGGAATTGTCTCCATTGGGGCCACCTGGGTGTTTCCCAGCTTTCCCCAGGAGTGCCTGCCTGCATTTTAAGAAGGTTTAATAGCTCTGCTAAATACCTGCTGCTGCTCCTGAAGCATTCCCCAGTCTGGTGAGGGGCAGGAAATGGGAATGGTGCTTGGTGGTGGCTCTGAGGATGGGTCACAGTGCTGGAGTGGGAAGGGGGTTTCTATGGGACCCTGCTCATCCATCTGCTGCCTTTCCCTGCCAAGCTTCCATCTGAACGGTGCTGTGGAGCTGGCAGGGCTTACAGTGCTCCCAGGCACTGCTGTGGGTGTCTCCTCACCCACTGGGATCGTGGGAATGAGAGAAGTGGGAGTCTGTGCTGTCACCAGCCCTTCAGGTGGGTGTAGGACATCTCACCCTGGGTGCCTGGACCCCCGAGGTGACGGTGGCAAGGACAGCTTGTCCCCAGCCTCGTGCCAGCCTCCTTTCCCAGCCCAGCACTCGATGACAGTTCGGTGGGTGTTCCTGGTGGATTTTTGTGCCCTCTGTTCCTCACTTAACCCCTGCCAGGCTGTGCTTCCCTCACGTGTCACCGGGAGACATCCTGCCCTTTGTGCTGCTGCTTCTCCCGCTCCGGCAGCACCGCCGTGCTCTGGAGGGCTGGAGCCTTGGTGCCACCCCGAGCCGGTGACCGAGGGGACAGCGGGGAGCAGCAGGGACACCACGTGCCACCGGGTGCTCAGGGACACCCTGCGCTGCCGGGCACTCGGTGCCAGGCACTGCCCTGAGCTCCTGAGTGCTCCCAGGCCGTGTTTATCCAGCGCTGCTGACGCAGGATGTGTCGTGTCCCCGGGAGCAGCAGCAGCAGCTGGAGGGGGGTTGTTGGCCTGTTTGTGGGTGGTGGCACTTGGGGACAGCGGCTGCTGATGCCTGAAGTTTCCTCCAGGAATTAAAGCAGCTGCTAAAAAATGTCCTGAAAACAGGAGGAAGGATTGTGGTGCTGGTTGTAACCCGCAGGGAAGGCTCCCAAAGGCACAGAGCTGCGCTCGATGATCTTAAAGGACTTTTCCAACCTTAAGGATTCTATAAAGGCTCGGGGAAAGGGGGAGAAGAGGGATGGTGGCCTGGCTGTGGGACAGGGAGGCTACCTGAGCCTGGGGAGGGGAAATTCAGCTTAAAACAGACAAGAAAGCCTGAAGAACGTCCAAGGCCAAGGAAGGGCTGTGAAGGTATGGGAAATGGGCCAGGGAAATGGTGTGCTCGGTTATTACAATTACTGATGTCCGTCTGCCTTCCCAGTTCGCAGAAAAGCCGGATGCCAGGTTGTGTCTCGTGGATCTGACAAGAGCTGAATCCACGTCAGTGCCGAGGGCAACGTCCCCTCCTCCCGGTCCCAGGAAAAGCCTGGCCAGGAGCAGGGCACAGGGTGAGCACCCAGGGCTTGTGCTGGCACAGGGGACAACGGGCTGGGACCGAACCACGTTCGCAGCAGGAACCAGCACGAGGCCGAGAGAAAGCCAGGGTATGTCCTGTGTCTGCACTGCCCCTCGCCCAGAGCTTCCCAGGCTTTAGGGGAAATGGTTTCCCTATCCCAGGCGTGTCTTGGCGTCTCGAGCTTTTTCTTCATCCAAAAGGAGGGTAAAAGATCTGTGGAATATTGAAATTTGAACAAATAAAGGGAGGATGCCAAAACTGTTGTGTTTGAGTCAGGCTGGGAGGCAGCAGGAGTGTAAATTTTGGTCTGACAAAAAAAGCAGCGGTGGGTGAAATGTTGTGACCATTGACAAATTTTCTAGAGAACTCGTTGAGAAATCCAGCAAAACTCATTCTTTCCAGTGGAAAGCCTTCACATTTCTCTGGATCTGCATTTTCAAAGAATAATAGATTTTTATCAAAAATTTCCAGTGAGCTGTTCCTCTAACCCAAGAGGAAATTACCTTCCCTGCAACTCAATTATAGCACCTTTTCTCATCCCTTTTTCCTCTTTTTTTTTCTTCCCTTTTCTCTCTTTCTCTCCATGGAGATGAACCAGAGCTTCACCTACTTCCAGAGCTGAGGAATATCCTGGGAGCTGATGGCAGACATCACTCCTCAAGCCACCACAGCCCAGCAGAGTGGGAAGAATGCTCCTCATCCTCTGCATTCAGCAGAGCAGAAATGAACCTAAATCTCCCCAGTGCAGATGATGTAATGAAGATCACGTGCTGTAGGCTGTTGTTTCACCCAGCTGAAGGTATGCCCCCCTCCAGAAACGCTGCTGGAGGTACCATTTCTGTTGTTTGTCCTGGTACTGCTGCAGAGCCCATTCCCAGATATGACTGACCTCATCAATCCCTGTCCTCGTGCTCCCTGCCTGTGCTGGGCTGCCCTGGATGTGCTCCTGGGGAATGTGGTGCGTATTTGGGATGGACAGGAGGCTGGTGGCACCTCCAGGACAGCAGCCCACATGTCCCTCCCATGCCTAGGGCTGTGCTGCTGCTGCTTCCAGTTCTCCCTGTCTGGCACAGCAGCTCTGACTCCACACAGCTCCCCTGGCAGCCCTTCCCAGCCTGGAGGGGGAGGTCGGGCGTGTTGTTCATGACACTTTCCTCCTCTCTGGGGGGGCTCTGGCCAGGCTGGGACATCCAGATGGGGAACGTGTCCCCCCATGCCCCCCTGCCTCACACAGCCCTGTGCTGCCCCTGCAGTCACTTCCCCGGGCTGGGGGGGTGCAGATGTTGCCACATGTTGTGCAGCTGGATCCCCCAGCCCAGCTGTGCCTGCAGGGCCTGCCCTGGGACACTGCCCAGGTGTGGTTCTCCATCCTGCAGGCACAGCCCCTCAGTGCCTGCTCCCAGTTTGGGGGCGCTGGATGGCTGTGGGGACAGGTCATGCTGGGAAGTGACCCTGGAGGGGATCAACTGGCAGGAGCGAGTCCCTGCCACCCCCAGCCCATTCTCAGCACCCATCCTGTGCTCCTGACCCCAGCAGTGCCTTGGAAAGAGGAAGGAGATGGTTTCACTGCAGGACAGCAGAGCTCCACGGCAGGCTGGGCACTGGCACCCAGGGTGACCCTCCCTGTCCCCAGCCTCAGGAGGGGACAGGAGCTGGCTGGGGAGCAGGACCTGCCTCTCCCAGGGCGGCAGTGCCACATGACAGCGGTGCCACCGCGTCACTGCCGCGGCGCTGGCTCAGCCCCAGCACGGGGATGTGGCTCCTCACGTGGTCAGGCACTACGTGAGCGTGGGGTGGGGAGCACTGAGGTCACCAGGGGCCTGAGGGGACACTGATGGCAGGGGAACCCCTGGAGGTCTCGTACCACGCTGCCCCTCCTGAGCCTGGGAGCCACAAGCCCTTGGGAGCTGGGGCTGTGAGAGGGGAGGGGTCCCCATGTGCTCACACGGGTCACAAACCATTCAGGGGTGTTTGCTTTGGCCCCTGGCCGAGTGCCAGCGGTGAGGGACACAAACCTTAGGCCACCCAGGACGACTGTTTGATGTTCCTCTGCTAATTAGCTCCGTCCCAGCAGCCAGCTCTGTGTGCAGACAAGCCCTGGCCCAGCACCAGGTGTGATCCTTGCCCCTGGCTGTGTCCCCCCTTGGCTGTGTCCCCAGGGTGGCCAACACCAGGCAGGTGGAGGATGGCATTTCCCAGTGTCTGTCCCTGCTCAGCACTGATGGAGCCCCAGCTGGGGGCTGGGGAAGGGAAGGGAAGCCTTTCCTGGGCTGGGAATCCCCTCCTGCCTCTCTGCTTCCCCCAGAGCCCGCCAGGCAAGGGGAAGGAAGGGGAATTTTTAGCACTCGCCCTACACTTGTTTGAAGGACTGAGCCAAGAAGAGGAATTGACGTTCGAAGAAGGTTTGGTTTGGCTTTAAAAGGAAGGGTTTAATTTTTTCCTGCTACTCAGTCCTTGCAAAAGTTTCCTGTGAAGAGGGATTGCTAAAAGTACCTCTCATATGAGGCAGCCTCGGGCAGGGCACTGGTGTCACAGTTCCCTGTGTGGCACTGCCTCCAGTGCCCTTGCCTTCCACGTCCCAAAGGAAGGGATGGGGTGGGACTGATCCCTCCTGTCCCCATCCTGATCGGGGCTCCCATCACCTGCAAAGCAAGTCCCTCATGCCAGCCCATCCTCCCATGGTTCCTCTCTGCATTCCTGTTCTCCAGCAGCTTTTCTGACCACTGCTCACAGCTTCTGAACCCCCTGGTGATCCGTGTGCCCTCCCAGCTGCCATCCAGCACCAGAAATGTCCTGGCAACCCCTGGAGATGCTTCAGGTCCCAGAACAAGACACTGCCCACACCCTGAGGAGGAGTTTCCCTGAATGGCACAAGGTCAGTGGGGGGAAAAGCAACTTGCTGACCCCAGGGGGAGGTGGGAGCAGGTTCTGCAGGGATCTGAGGGCAGGTGGTGGCCCTTAAGAGCTAAACCAGTGGCCAGAAGGTGGCAATATCCCCCCTCCTTTCTGGCCCTGACAGCGAAAGGTCCCTCCTTGTGTGGGGGATGGGGCCGGTTTGGTTGGGAATCTCTTAGAATCATGGCATGCTTTGGGTTGGAAGGGACCTTAAAGCCCATCTCCCAGACATTCCCAAAACATGGGATTGCCTGTGCTTGGCAACTCCTGCCTTGCATGTACTGGATGAACCTCTGCCTTCCCTCTGCCCACGGAGCACATGATGCCCAAAAAACCACCCAGGCACCTCCCAGCAGTGATAAGAGCAGCTTTTCCTGGTCAGAAAATTCCTGATCCCTCCAGAAGCTGCTCAGATTTCCCCTCAATGTTCCCCTTGGGGCCTGAGGCTGAAAAGGGAACTTGGGGGATCTGAGTTCATAACACCAAAATCCTCAGGGCTGGAGTGAGAGGGACACAGTGTGGTCACCGTGTCTATGTCAAGGGAAGAGAAGGAGCTGCAAAAGCCATGATTGGGAAGGTGAGGTGTGACAGGAGTTCCAGGGACTTCCAGAGCACCTGGGGATGGGCAGCAGAACTGCCCCAAGAAAGGTGGAAGCTGTGGGAGGCCAGTCTGACCTTGGTCTCTCATCAAAGACTAGGAATAATTCCGTGGGGAAGAACCCAACCTCACCCTGAGGTGTCCAGCAGCACCACGCTCTGATCACACAGGAGGGTCCTGGCACCCCACCCCACACAGCACTTGGTCCCACAGTGGGTGCAGCTTCCTGGGGCTCCTCTACCTCCTCCTTGAGGTCCTGTGATGGGTGTGAGCAAAACTCACCCTGTCAGGGAGTTCACAGGGGTGGTTTCTCATTGCAGAGCCCTTGGAGAAGCAGATCAGGTTCATCTGTGCCACCTGGGATTGAAGCCAGACAGTGACCCTACACAGCAGCACCAGCCCTCAGGTACCACTGCAGCAGGGATGGTGGAGGGGACTTTGGGCTGATGAGGGAGCAGCTGAGTTGGCCTGAAGATCCAAAAATTTACAGAAAACCGAGAAAATTGTCCCCTGCCCCACAGTGCTGGTGGGTCCCAGCCCTAAGGGCTGCACTGGCTGTGCCAGAGCTCAGGATCTGTGTGGGCAGCAGGTCCTTCCAGGAAAAGCACCTTCCAGTGAGAGGGGAAGTTGCCCAGCCAGGGAGAAAGTGAAAGCCTAAAGAATGGCCTTCAACTCTTGACTGTTTCCAAAACCTGGTGTCAGCTGGGCTGGTGTCTCAAATGTCACTTCCTACTGTGGAAAAAAAACCAGCCTACCTGGTTCCTCAAGGTCTTCACATCACCATGCAGCAGTTTTAGTTCTGTACTTAGGGAAGGGAGAGTTCAGAGAAATCCACCTTGTGACAAGCACATGCCACCCATGGGGTTGTCTCCCTGGAGCAGCTCCTGCCCAGGCAGGCATTGTTTCCTGGCTCCATCATTTCTGCCAGCCCTAATCTGAACATCTGAATGTGGTTTTAAGCTTTTTGTAAAGAAAATAATGGGGGGAAAAAAACCCCAACAATCATGAGCCTTTGCCTACCTGAAAGGAGGTTGGAGTCTAGTGGGGATCGGGCTCTTCTCCCAGTGACAGGACAGGAGGAACAGCCTCGAGTTGTACCAGGAGAGGTTTTGTTGGATACAGGGAAACATTTCTCATGGGAAGGGTTGCACAGGCTGCCCAGGGCAGTGGTGGAGTAACATCCTGGAGGGATTTCAAAGCCCTGGGGATGAGGCACTTGGGGACATGGGTCAGTGGTGGCCTTGGCAGTGCTAGGGGAACATCCTGCAGCCTCTCATCCCTTAACCCCCTCCCAGGTGCTGGTTCGGGGATGATCGCTGCCAACAACAGCTGGACCCTCCTCCACGCCCCTCCTTGTCCCTGTCCTGCTGTGAATGGCACCGAAACCGCCTTTGTTCCCCTGCCGGGCGGGGGCAGGACCTGCCTCCGGCGTCTATAAAAGGGGGCGGGGGTGCCGAGCAGCCCCAGCCCCGCTCCCGGTCCCCATCTCGGTCCCATTCCTGGTCATGGGCCACCCCAGTGCCACCGTGTTGCTGTGCCAGCTGGGTCTGTCCACGGCCATCCAGTGGCTGTGAGTCGGGATCCCCCCTTCCCAATGCCCCCCCTTTTGGGCTCCCCCTGGGTTCCCGTGGTCCCCCACCCCACTGACCCCCTCGTGTCCCCACAGCGGGCTGACGGGCAGCGGGGTGTCCTGGAACGAGAGCCAGCACTGCCGGCTGCTGGTGCCGGAGCAGCTCCAGCTGTGCCGCCGGAACCTGGAGGTGATGCCCAGCATCGTCCGGGCCGCCCGCCACACGCAGGCCCTGTGCCAGCAGAGCTTTGCAGACATGAGGTGGAACTGCTCCTCCATCCAGCGAGCCCCCAGCTTTGGCCCTGACCTGCTGAAAGGTAAAGGATGCTCCTCCCGCCGTGTCCGTGCTCCCCGCGCTGCCCCACGGAGCATCCCGGGATGGCAGCACTTGGGTGCTGCCCCTCGGGCTCGGCTCTGCCTTGGAGAGCAAATTTGCTGCCTCTACAGGGTGTTAATCCTGTGCAATTCCATCTGTGGGAGGTGACAGACAGTCACTTCCATTTCAAACAGCTCCATAAAAAAGGAGGAGAAGGTGGGAAGGCAGGCTGTGTCTGGACAGTGTAATGCAGTGTGGGGGGCACAGGTTAAAATCGTGCTGCGAGGAAAATGAGAGCCTTGGGTTCATCCTGCTGCGAGATTTTTAGGATAACCGTTTATTTGCATTGCGAGGTCTTTGGGAGGAGTGTCTGGCCGGGCAGGGAGGAAGGACATCTCCCCCTCTTCTTCCCAGGGACCCGGGAAGCCGCCTTTGTGTACGCGCTGGCTGCTGCCACCATCGCGCACGGCATCGCCCGGGCCTGCGCCTCGGGGGAGCTCCCGCTCTGCTCCTGCGGCCCCGGCCCCCCCGGAGACCCCGGCCCGGGGGGCAGGTGGGGGGGCTGCGGGGACAACCTCGGCTACGGCCTCCAGCTCGGGGCCGCCTTCGCCGACAGCTCCTCCAGAGCCGGCAGGTCGGGGACACACGGGAGCAAAGCCGTGAACCTGCACAACAGCGCCGTGGGCAGGACGGTGGGTGTGGGACCGCTGGGACGGGGGTGTGGGACCACTGGGGTGCTGGGTCTGGGATGGTGGATGTGGGATCACTGGGATGGTGGGTGTGGGATCACTGGGGTACTGCAGTCCTGGATGGTGGGTGTGGGGTCACTGGGGTGCTGCAGTCCTGGGATGGTGGATACAGAGCCCACCAGGACTGCACAGTGGGTCGGATGGTGGGTATGGAGCCCCCCGGGAATGCTGGAGCCCAGGCTGGTGGGTGTGGATGCCCCAGCACACCTTGGAACAGCCCGGAGCAGGGCAGAGGTGCCCAGTTTAAGGTGTCAGACTCCAGCCAGGCTGTTGGGATGTTGTCTGAACATCAGGAGGCAACTAAACAGTTAAGAAGTGTGTTTGCAGACACACTGTCACCCCCCCCAGACATCCTGCACCCCTTCCACAACCTGCACAAGATATCTACCACTTCCCATCAGTACTCCCAGTGCTTCTTCCCACCCTCCTCACTGGAAGCAGAGGCTCCCCAGCCCACCTGGGCTTTGTGCTTTCATGCACTCCTGTTCCCCAGCTGAGGCTGGGAAGCCCCCAGCCCCAGTGCCAGCTCCCACAGGTAGTTCCCGAAGGATCAGGTTCTTATCAGAAGGGATTGAAGGAGGGCTGAGTCCCTGATTGCCCCATTATATTAATTTAAACGTGGCAATAAGGATCAGAGCTCTTTTATCTCTTTAAACTTGCCATGGATGCTCTTGCAAGTCAATGCATGGGGTGGGTACCAGGAGAAAGCAAACTCCCCTGTTTTCCTGTCCCTGCAGGTGCTGAGTGACTCCCTGGATACCAAGTGTAAATGCCATGGTGTTTCAGGCTCCTGTTCAGTGAAGACCTGCTGGAAGGGACTGTCAAGCCTGGATGAAATTGCCTCTGACCTCAAGTCCAAGTACCTGGCAGCCATCAAGGTGTCCCACCGGCTCGTAGGGCCCAGGAAGCAGCTGATGCCCAAGGATACGGATGCCAGGCCAGTAACAGAGACAGACCTGGTTTATCTCATCAACTCTCCTGACTACTGCACCCCAAACCTCCAGCTGGGTTCTCTGGGGACACAGGACAGGTAATAAGCTCAAACTCAGCCTTTCATTTCATGACTGTCTGTACTGCTGGGTTTGAGAGCAGGTCCTGGGAAGTGTTGTGGGTGGAATGAGCCCAGAGAAGCTGTGGCTGCCCCTGGATCCCTGGAAGTGTCCAAGGCCAGGTTGGACGGGGCTTGGAGCAATCTGGGCTAGTGGAAAGTGTCCCTGCCCATGGCAGGGTTGGGACTGGATGGGCTTTAAGGTCCCTGCCAACCCAACCCCTTCCATGGCTCTATGATCCCGCTGCCTCCTGCTCTGGGCAGATCAGCTGTGGGAAAGGCCAGGGCAGGTGGCTGTGGCCAGGATGGGCAGGTCCCCCAGCTCAGCACCCTCCTCTCCACAGGCAGTGCAACAAGAGCTCTGTGGGCAGTGCCAGCTGTGCCCTGCTGTGCTGTGGCCGCGGGTACAACACGTACATGGAGGAGGTGGAGGAGCGGTGCCACTGCCGCTACCGCTGGTGCTGCTCCGTCGTCTGCAGGAGGTGCCGGCGCAGGGTGGAGAGGCACGTCTGCAAATAACAGCCCAGGACTCTGCTGGTGCCCTCCAGGAACTGCTGGGGAGTGGACACCCACCCCAGGGGATGCTCCGAGCAGGGAGGGGGCTGTGCAGGAAGCCTGGCCTCTCCATTGCCATGGAAAACATCACCCTGAGGGATTCCGGGAAGCCTCCGGTCCCTTCCTACCCGACCCCTCCTGCAGCTGGGCAGTGATCAGCCCTGCCTCCAGCTGGGAGCAGCCATTGATCACCCCACAGGAACAGCCCCTTTCTCTGGTGTGAATGGGGACCCTGGGCTGCCATTGTCCCTGTGCAGGGGGTTCTGACAGCCAGGAGTGATGGATGGGAAGGGGGTAGAGTTATCCCTTCGGAGAAGGCTGCAGCGACACAAAGCTGCATCATGGGCAGCTCCTCTGGGGATAATTCTGCCATGGGCTCACCCAACACCACTGGATGTTCCTCCTCTGGAGCAAACACTGGTCCAGGGCCATTTGCAGCATGGGAATAAAGCCCAGGCTTGGACACAGACAGAACCAGTCACTGCCCCAGGAGCCAGGACTCATCAATCCTCCCCCAGACCTACACAGACATGGCTGCTGCTCTCATTGATGGCAGACAGACCAGGGACAGGAGAGGTCCTGGAGGCTGCCAGAACAGGGCAAAGCTGCACCTGCCAGGTGTGTATTAAGTGGGCAGCCTGGCAAAACTGCTCCTGCCAGCTGTGGGTTACCAGCCCCACCATGGCATCACTGGAGCTTCTGCTCTCTGGGCTCCTCTTGGAGGTGGAAGCGCACTCAGTGCAAGTAACCCTCATGGCTTGTCCTTCCTGCCCCTTCTCTTGCACCCCTGAGGTCTTTAGCCCACTCTTTCCACTCCCTCAGGACCAGGCGTGCTGGGAGTCTGGCCTGGAGAGGGGACACTACTCCGGGGCCCTGGGGAAGCAAGAATGAACCTTTAGTGTCTGTCCTTCCTGTAAGTGGGATTCTGGTGTGTGTTTTGTAAATAAATGTGTTGTATCCTAACTCTCTATGGCTTGTTTTGTAGGACAACCTCGTTCCTCCATCTCCCTCTCTGCTGGCCCAGAGAAAGGGAGGGTGTCAGGAGAGCACAAAGCCCTGTGCCCACACAGTCCTGTGTCCCTACTTTTCACTACACATATGTGAGGAGCAGTTCACTTTTAACTCTTTCTGCTGTTCACTGCCTCAGATTTGCCTGTAATTACAGATACCTGCCAGTCTTAGCTCCTGTGCACACATGGAAGGTTTTATCACCTGCTCCCTCAGGTCTCCAACCAGCCAGCAAAGAATCTGCCTTCCTGGGAGTCAGGGCTGGTGGCTGGAAACCGAGGCAGTCCAGGATTGTTTTCTGATCCATGGGAATGTGAGCTGGACTAGCCAAGTGTGTGTGTGAACAGGAGGAGCTGGGAACCTGAACTAGGGGCTCTGATGGCCCCATTTCCTCAGTGAGGAATCCAGCCAAGTGCTCGGATGGGATAAGAGATTCCTGTCCGTGCAGCCCTTGGAGAGAAAGGATGAGTCCAAATACACAGGTGCTGTGGAGATCCCACAGGTGAAGGGGCTGGGAATCCTCGGGTGATTCCTGCAGCTCACACCAGGACCTGGCGTGCTCCTGCTTTATTTGTGGTTCCCACTGAATGGAGTTGGCCGCGCTCAGCCCGAGTCCAGCTGGACGATTACTCATTTCCATATTCATTCAATCATTTTTAACAGTCTCTGCTGGGTCACGGAATCAATTCATGAGCCTTTCTTGTAAATCATCCCCTCCCCTTAATGTGCTCCAGGTTTCTGTGTGAGCAGTGAAGGAGAGGCAGAGGTGGCTTGGGATGATCTTGGGAGCTGGAGGCTGAGCCTGAGCTCTCGCAGTTCAAGGAGTGAGTTTAACCATCGTTATCAGTTGTTAATGAGCCATTACTGGCTCTGCCTGCTGCCCTCTCCCTTCTCGGAGCGCCAGGAAAGCCGCAGCTGCCCAAGGCCAAAAGTAATCTCGAGTTTTTCTTTTAAAATGCAATTAGGGTCAGTCCTCTGCATTCCTCGGAAAAGGGAGTTTCAGCTGCCGGGCTGCAAAACAGCTGCAGTTTCTGTGTCCGGAGGGATGCAGGTACTTAATTAGGAGGATTGCTTAAGTACTTTCCCTCCATCCACGTCCCAGCACATCCCAGATCAGAGGAGGTGACACCGGGAGGGGCTGCGAACTCCACGGAGCATTGCAAAACGAGCTGGTGAGAGGAATAAACAGGGGAAGGATCGTGTGGAGTGAGAGCTCCAGCCAGGAGGGTGGGAAATGCGATTTGCATTTGGTAACTACAAACACACACAGCCTGGGGTGGAGGAGAGGAGCCACAATAGCAAGGAATGCCCGGGGGAGCTGTCATGATCCCCTCCTAGAGAGCTCCCAGAGGACTTTCTGCCTGGAAAAAAAGCAGGGACAAGTGCTGAATATGCAGAATCCACTCCTCCCCTCCCTCCTTGACTCCAAGCCCGACAGGGAAGAGCCGGGGAAGGACTGGAGGGGTCACGCAGCCCCCGGGATCCCCGCTCCGTTTGTGTCCCGCGGGAAAGGGGAAGGCGCAGTAATTAGTTGGAGGGTGCAAAGGGTCAGGCAGGAAGGAGGTGACAGCTCGGTGACAATGCTCGGAGGGAGGGAGGTGTTGGAATCTGGGCCCACACCTGGAATTAGCAGGGATGTGAGATCTGCTGAGCTGGAACGACCCCCAGGGACCAGGAGCCAGAGGATGGGTCCAGTGGGAATAACCCCTGTGCTTGGCCCCAGGGGGATCCGTTGGCTGGCTGTGATTCCTCCCTCTAACCCTGTTTGGATGGAAGAGCCACGGGAAGGTGCCAGAGGAACACGGAGCTCCTTCCCCCAGCCCGGGCCAGCACAAGCATCCCTGAGGTAAAAAATGGGAAAATTTGGACACAGTTATCCCCCTCCAGCAGCTTCCAGCACCAGTCAGTGCCACGCTCTGCCAGAGAAACCGGTGCAAGAAAGCTTTTCTTGAGCCTTCTGTCCCTTTTCTTCCACCTCAAACACCTCCAGCTCTGGCAGGGACCCGGATAATGCCGGGCAGTGTCCCCAAAACCGAGAGCATCTGTTTGTGACAGTTGTGGCTTTCCAGCCCTCCAGACACTTCCTGAGGCGGTTCCTTGTCCTCTGCAGGCTGTGACAGGCTGCTGGCACTGCCCTCTGCCCCCCCAGCCCTCCCTGCTAATGTGACGGATCTACCTCCTCCACATTCCTGTCATTAGCCTCTTATCCCCCATGTCTTGTGGCTTTTTGTTTACCCATCCCTCTGGAAATGAGACTCCCCAGAGCCAAATTCTCCCCAGCCACGGCAGGAGCCTTTCCCTCCCTGGTGCTGTGGGCTGGCATGGGGGGATGGCTCGGAGAATGGCTTGTGCAGGGAAGAAAACCATCCTGCCCCATGGAATGTGGTGGGATCCAGACAAAGAGTTTGCTCTGGAAAGGCTCCTCTCCGATATGCTGGACTTTAATTTGGGTTTTAGGGGAGTAACACTGGTGTGAACGTGATCATTTGTTGCTGGTCGTGCTTGTGCAGACAACAAAGTCTGGAGAAAAGTCATTTATTTTCATGAATTCTTGATTTTGCTGCTAAAACACTGACTTATTTATTTTTCCTTTTATTTCCTTATTCATTGAGGGATGCTGCCTAACTCATGCCAGGTGTTCCAGGAGGATTTTCTGAGCAAGGACAACAAGCTGTTGGTAATTGAGTATTTTGGAGTAAGAATGATTCTGTGTTCAGGGACATACAGGGATATTTCTTCCCTGCATTGCAGCTCAGACTGGAATAGGGATCAGGACCTCCACCTGCTTTTCCTTGTGCTCTTCTCAAAGGGAGCTGAGCCAGAAGGAGGAGAAGGCCAGGGATGGGGCTCACCTGTTGATCAAACAGAATCCTGGAATGGTTTGGGTTGGGAGGGACCTTAAGGATCATCCAGTTCCACCCCGTGCTGTGGGCAGGGACACCTCCCACTAGCCCAAGTTGCTCCAAGCCCTGTGTAACCTGTACTGCTGGAAATATTTGGGGGATGTTGCTCTGACCTTTGGGAGGGTTGGTCCCTGCAGTGTCACACCACAAGACACACACATGAGTAAATGCCTGTATTTAAGGAAAAACCCTTCCATCTCTGTTCTCCTTTATTCCTGGGGTGCTCAGCAATGTCATGGTGCTCTGAGGATGACAAACAATGACAGGGGTTGTCCTCTTGGGGATCTTCAGCTGAGGGACAGCGACAGATCACCAGAGGTGAGTAAGAGCCATGAGAGCCGAGGGGGAGCCGGCTGCAGCCCGGGGAGCTTTGGGATGTGGCACTGGCTGGGTGGGGTTTGCAGGGGAAGCAGCCCTCCATCCCTTAGGATCGTGGAATTTGCTCTGGTCCTTAAAGTGCTGTTGACCTTTGGCTCCTGGTGGTTACAGGGCTGATGGGGTGACAAAAGGTTTCCTGGAGCCTTTAACTGACACGTGGGAAGGGGAAGGTGCTGCCTCGAGAGAGGGTTTGCTCTGGTGGTACCTGGAGCATCTCCTGCCGGTGAAGAACAAATGGCTGCGGATTCCTGGCTCCATCCCACCTCTAAAGATTATAGTAATGAATTTTCCCAACTTGTTCCTCACCTCCTGCCCATGCAGGAACCCCTCAGAGACCCAGCCCTGGACACCCCTCCCAGCCGGGTGGTCCCAGGGAGGTGACAGGAGGTGACACAGCGGGCCAGAACCCGGGGGTCGCGGGGGTTCCACGGCCGGGGGGGATCGCGGAGCCCACCGGGCCCGGTGCCCTCAGCCCGACCTGCCCAAGATGGCGGCGCCGCTGTGCCCCTGCCCTGCCCAAGATGGCGGCGGGGCCGGGCGGGGCGCGGAGGGCCCGGAAGGGACGCTGGGCGGGCGGTCCCGGCCCGTGATGGCGGAGGCGGGCGCGGGCGGCCCGCGGCTGGCCGAGCTGCTGGCGGCGGGACGGCGGCTCTGGGAAGAGCTGGAGGCCGGAGCCGAGCCCTCGTCGGGCGCCCCGGCCGTGCAGGACAAGGTGCGGCAGGGCCTGGACGCGCTGCAGCGCGCGGCCGCCATGGTGGCGCAGCTGGAGCTGTTCAGGTGAGCGCAGGACGGGCCGGGGGAGCCGGGGCCGGGCACGGGCGGGACGGGAGCGGGACAGAATCCCAGAGTCATTGTGGGTGAAAAAGCCCTCCAGGATCATCGAGTCCCCCCTGTGCCCCATCCCCACCTTGTCCCCAGCCCAGAGCACTGAGTGCCACGGCCAGGCCTGCCTTGGACACCTCCAGGGCTGGGCACTCCAAACCTCCCTGGGCAGCCCCTGCCAAGGCCTGACCACCCTTTCCAGCAAGGAATTTCCTCCTGATGTCCAACCTGAGCCTCCCCTGGCACAGCCTGAGGCTGTTCCCTCTCCTCCTGTCCCTGTTCCCTGGGAGCAGAGCCCGACCCCCCCCGGCTCCCCCCTCCTGTCAGGGATTGCAGAGCCAGAAGGTCCCCCCTGAGCCTCCTTTTCTCCAGGCTGAGCCCCCCCAGCTCCCTCAGCCGCTCCTGCTGCTCCAGCCCCTTCCCAGCTCCCTTCGCTGGACTCCCCCGTGTCTCCCGTTGCAGTGAGAACGAGGAGCTGGACGAGGTCTCCTCGGCCGACCTGAAGTTCCTGCTGCTGCCCGCGCTGCTGGGGGCGCTGACGCTGAAGCAGGTGGACCTGAGCAGGAGGCAGCAGCACCTGGAGAGCGCCCGGGATCACTTCCTGCGCTTCCTCAAGCTCTGCCGGAGCTACGGCCTGGGGTCGTTCCAGCTGCCTCCCACCGCCCCCGGGGAGGAGGGAGCCGGGAGCCCCCCGGGGAACCCCCCGGGTGCCCAGCCCAGCCTGGTGGCCATGGCCATGAGCAGGAACGCCAAGATCGAGAGGTGGGCTCGGGGCACGGGGAAAGGGCTCTGGGAGAGGGGGGAGCCTCAGGCTGGACAGAGAAGGGGCTGCTTCCATGCCCATTGGAATAACGGGATCACAGAACGTTCATTTTAAGAGAGGCAGCACATTTTTAAATGGTCTGGGTTGTGCACAGGCCGGGGAGGGGAGCATTTGTGTCTTTCTGGGCTTTTGATGAAAAACTGCTCAAAAATTTTTAATTAGCTCTTTAATCATTAATCTCGTAATTAATCCTTTAATCAGTTCTAGCAGCACAA